GGGGAACACATGGCACTAATGTGAGGAAGGAGTTGGTGCACCTCTAGAGCCCAAAGCCAAGAAAGCCGCACAGAGCAGCAGCAGCTCAGAGTCCAGAGATGATACCTCAGGGCCCAAGATGAACCATCCTTACCAAGGCTGCACAGATCTCCAAAGGAAAAGCCTGGCTAAGTCATGCCTGTTTGTGAATTAAGGTCAACAAACTCCCTCTTCGCTGCTTTTGCTGTGAGAGGAGGACCAAATGCAAGCTCGTAAACCTGCCCGTTAGCAGCGGTCACCTCGGTGCAGGATGTCAGCGGCTCTCTACACCTCACTCTGAAGTTTCAGAAATTATTTCAGAAACAATTATCGGTGAAGTAACCGAAAGTCCGTTACACCGGTGGAAGGACACCATGATCTGCTTCCTTTGTTTTCACTTGTTTTACCTTCCCCAGTCATCTACTCTTGGACAGGCACCTTGGGTTCAAACACCGTGCCCTGTCGAAAGGCATGCATTTAAAGGGACAATAATATTTTTTCTTTTTTGCTTGGCACACATCTCTCACATATCTTGCTGTGCGTTTAAGGTACAGTGCTGCCTGCTATACAGAAATGTACTGAAGGGCCCTGTCACCAGGACAGGGTAGCGTGCCCTCCGCACACAGCTTCCCACCACCCCGCTCACTGGGAAACAGCAGTGCTTGGGGGGGCGGGGAAGGAATTTTTTTGGTCAAACCCTGAAGAAGTCAAGTTTGCGTTTCTCCAAAATACACCAACTAATTCAGTATTTCTTCAGAAACAAGGGACTCAAAACTTGATTTGGTGTAACAGGCGAGACTGTAAAATTTGCAATGCTGAAGATGAATTTGTGGCTACCATGTTTGTGGCCACGTGGAAAGCTCACTGCATTTCACCCCTTTGGGATGGCACACCTACCTCCTCTGCCCCGGTGACCGAGTATGCGTGTCCCTTCACCAACTTCTGGGAAGTGACAGCCTCCGTCTCTGCCGCACTGGTGATCTGGAGAAGCAAAAAGGCTAGGTGAGTAAGGCTTCCCATGCAGCAGGGGATCCAAGGGAGCAAAGCTTCCCCCTCCATCGGAGCTTCAGTCTTGCTGGGAAGCTGCAGGGGTGGTTTAGCTGCTGCATAGAGGCAAGGAGAGGGATCTGCGTGATAGGGCAGGGAGAGGGGAAGGCAGCAGGCATGGCAGTGCCGGAGCCCCCGGTTGTGGCATGGGGTGTGTTCCAGAAGCCCTGCACCACAGCAAAGCTCCCTCCTAGCTCCAAGATACTTGGTGCGGTGCATCCCCTCTCATCCATCTCCAAACGCTGTACAGAGGGGACACATACGATGAACTCCACGTTCTCAAGGGACCAGGAGGAACACAGGGAGTGACCGGCCTGAGGATGACCAGACGTCACCAGGGATCACACCCAGGTCCAGCAAGCCCCAGTGCTTTGCTTTGAGGTCAAAACACCCCTTTCAGCCCCACAGCAGGGTGGGAGGTTCCCCCTCCTCTCCCCTGCATCACCACCCTATGACCTGCCATGCAGAGGAGCAAGGGAAAAGGCTGCACTTTGGATGCCATTCGTACCTGAAGGCATACCACCCTCACTTTTTTGTGGCCATTATAATATTCAGGCAGTCTGGCCTATAAACACTGCAGAGAAAAGTCCCTTCTTGCTAGAAAGTAACTGCTTGACATCTTGCTCCAAAGATGCTTAAACCTCTATGAAACATATGTTTGCCATTGCCTTTTCACCGTTTCAGAAAGCATGCGATCTTTAAACAAGCATATTTGAAGGCTAAAAAAAGAGGGTGGGATCGAGCAGGCAGGATTATTCCTGCTGTCAGTGCATGCCCTATTACTGCCCGCAGCACACTCTCCGTGTAACGCTTAACTCTTGTGCCCCTATTTCTCTGACAGAAGGAAAGATTTTACAGGATTTTTCAAAGGCTAAACTCACTGATAATTAGTCGACAACAGAGAAGGTGTCGGCACTTACCAAAGGAATATATTTACTTCCCCCTACCCCTGACAAGAGATTTCTATCATTCTGGGGCAAAAATCCAGATGTCAGATTCTTATTTAAATGCAAACGAGTGAAACAGGCCTCAAAAGTGCTGCCAAGTTGCACGCTGACATTAACCAAGTACTTTTCCTGCTGTGAAGCTTCCCTCTCCTGTGATTCTGATTTAACTTAAAAAATGGGAGGAAATACTTGAGTTTATACTATGAAGGGAGCTCTTGTAAAAAGTTTATTTTCCTTTTAGACATAACTAAGATGTAATCGCCTTTGAAAGTAGGGCAATTATCAGAATAACAATACTTAGATTCATTTCAGTGAGGTTAAAAGCAACGCTGAATCCTTGCAGGCAGAGCCAAAGCTCTTCTTTTCCTTCTGCTGCAAGTTCAGCTTTTGGCAACATGTTTTCTGATAAAGCCTTTTAAAGGTCTGGCAACACTCCAAGCCTCCCTGCTTCAAGAACAGAGCCCGGATTTTTTGGGAACATTTTTGGTACAATTTGTGTGACAAACACGCAATGGCAAGGATGGAGGTTGCCACCTCTGAGCATCTGACTGCAGAAGTCATTAGCAGCAGCTTTCCGTCCAAAGGCACTCAGCCTGTACCAACCTGCTGCCAAGCCACCGGCTTTCTTAAGAACAAAGATGCAGATCAGGACTTTAATGAGTTCCCTGTATGATTTGTTACCATCAACTTATGAAACAGCGAAAGCTCTAGGTCTTAAGAAAAAAAACCAAGAGAGGCAATGAGCTTTTACACATGAACTAACATAGTCTACATTTCAACCTGTTCTCAGACATAAGCCCCCAAGAAGAGCATGTGCTTGTGTCACACTCTTGGGTCAAACTCTCCAGGCACAAGGTAGAGAGGAGAACCGTAGGCAGAGGGGAACGACATCCTTTGTGCAGCTCTTGTGGATGGAGCACAGGTCCATCCCCCAGCTGCCTGCACCCACAGCAAGAGCAGAGTGTCCAGCAATAAGCCCACTAACTCACGTCAATGGAGCAGCCAAGGAGAGAGCCTTTCTGAAGTGCCTTCTGGATGATTTTGAAGAGGTTGGGTGGTGCCTTCTGCAGCTCATACCATTCTGCAATTCCACCCGTGAAGTCCTCGAAGCCTTCAGTGGTGGTGCCGCCAGAGAGAGACTCGTAAGATCCGTTCAGCCTGTACGAAAGGACATACACACACACACAACCATCAGGCTTCCTATTTTCCTCTTCTTGCACACACAACCATCAGGTTCCCTATTCTCCTCTTCTCTTGGAGAGGGGCGCTCAGTTGTGTCAGTTGTCACGGAATTTCTGCTTTCAAGCAGCTATGAACACCCCCCCATTCAGCTCTGCTTCTTAGACGTCTGTAGTTGGAAAGCCCAGCAGAAAATCTTATATGATCATGTATACAGGTTGCAGGTTCAGTCATATCAATGACAAAAACCAAGAACACTATTTGAAGAAAAAATAATATTTAAAAAAAAAAATCAAGACCCAACAATTTGCCTCTCTAGTTCCACACAGTCTTCCAATCCCTTTCAAAATTATGGGTCTGATTTTCAGCTTATCTAAGTTAGCTCAGTTTCTTAAGTGAATTGAAAATAGTAATGTTAGATGGCAGAATTCCTCCCTGAGCATCCCAAAACTGGAAATTCGGTTTTGAGCATCTTCACCTTGAACAGAGACCTGGGCACATGGACTGTTGTTCTTTGCATGCTGAAGTACCGCAGCTGCAAGCCCTCACAGGTGCACAGAGCACATGAAACAGAGCTTCCCAGGCCCTGGCAACAGGAGACAGCAATCTAGGAACAGCCTTGTCATGAGATACAGGGGCTATGTTTCCTGGCTAGCAACAAAGCCATAATTTTGGCTACTTGTCTTAAGCACCTGTCAGCAAAGCTTTACTAAAGCAGCCGTTGTGAGATACCCCAGAACGTGTAAAGGCTAATAATTAGGTTGACATTTTAAATGCATGGTATCCATGCAGTTGAGGACGCTAAGGGAAAGCGGAGGCATTGGGAGATTTGAGTGGGGTGATAGCCTGGCCACCATACTCACTTGGCGTAGGCCTTCTCCAGCAGCGCGCTCCAGAACTCGCTGCCCTCCGCTGAGTGCACAAAGAGCAGCTCCCCATTCTTGGTGGGCAGCCTGTCATCCACCACGACGTCCACCCACTCCCCGTACTGCCAGAACTGGAAAGAGAGCACAAACACCTCGCCACTGCCCTGTGCTGTGCACTCAGGTCACCAGGACATTTATCTGCTAACACTGATTTCCTAGAGGAAAAGCAATCCCCCTCACAGTCACATCTGCCCACCCTGTTCAGGGATGAGTGCCCTCAGCTGGATGTGCTGATGGAGGAAGGACCACAAAGACAGCCCCTGCACCCAGCTCTTTGGTTAGCAGTCTTCTTCCTTCCACCACCATCACCCTTCTTGGATGTCTCTGTTTTTCTGCCTGCCTCTTTGACATCCCTCAAAGTGCTCCAGGAATCACCACACACATAGACACAGCCAGCCACACCGGCTCCCGGCCAACAGCACTGGGGGGAAATGCTATTTTCCACCTACCTGGAAGTGGAAAATTCCTGCATATTTATCCTGGAAGCTCTGGTCTTTGGGAACAACACGAGCCAGAATTTCTTCGTTCAGGGTGAGAGAGGCAATAGCGGCCAAGAGCCAACAGTCCCCTGTAAACAAAAACAACAAAAAAAAACCAAAAAAACCCAACCAAAAAGAAATTAAAAGAAAAAGACACTGTTCATTATTCAAACTTTATTCTTTAGTTTTTGTATTGCACAGGGATTGTGCATTATAACCAATAATCACCTCAGCTGTGATGAGATGAGCCCTCCCATCACTTTACCTCTAAAGCAGATCAAACGTGTATACACAAACACCCGCCATTTCCAGGCAAGTGTTGTGTTTCCTCCAAGACCAAAATAATAATAATAATAAAG